GTTGTAGCAGCAGCAGTAGTAGCAGCAGCAGCAGTAGTCGCAGTAGTAGTAGAAGTAGCAATAGTTGTAGCAGCACCAGTAGTAGCAGCAGTAGTAGTAGTAGTAGTAGTAGTAGTAGTAGTAGCAGTAGTACGAGTAGTAGTAGAAGTGGTAGCAGTAATAGTAGTAGTAGTAGTAGTAGTAGTAGTAGTAGTAGTAGCAGTAGTACGAGTAGTAGTAGAAGTGGTAGCAGTAATAGTAGTAGTAGTAGTAGTAGTAGTAGTAGTAGTAGTAGTAGCAGCAGCAGTAGTATTGGTAGTAATAGTACTGTAGTAGTAAAATATTCAAAAGAGATATACGTCATAGGTGTCTGTGGTTTCAGGGAACTTTGGCGGAAGTGCTTCCGTGGAAACAGACTTCATTCGAGTCGATGTCGTCACGCCATCGGGAGATACGAAAACTGACGTACACATGCACGTGTTTCCTAAAAAGGAAGTTCTCAGAAGACAGTCCAAGCCTGGTACATTTCCACTAAATGTTGCACTGATTATGTTTGACTCCACTTCGGCGGTCAATTTTCAAAGAAAAATGCCTCGCAGTTTGGACTATCTTGTCAAGAATATGAACTCGATATTATTTCGGGGTAGGTCAACTTTTGTTCCCCTAAGAATAAGCGTTTTGGCAGTTTATTGTATCACAACTAGGCCATATATTACTTGTTCAATTATAAGATTCATTTGTTTCAAGTTAGATCTCCATACCAGTTTAGTGAAGAATTTGAAAGGCTAAAATTAGAAAAAAAAAAAATTTTTATATAAATACAAATGTGAAAGAAGGAAATTATTACTAGTTACTCGAGTTTCACGCTCTAGACGATCATCAGACTAAGAGTTGTCTACGAGAAGTAGACGTTAACATTTTATAGTGCTTTTTATTTGCCACTTGTCGCCGTCTGCCCATGAAATATTTTACCCAATAAAGGCCATGTATATCTTTACGTCGTATCACCTTACCAGTTATCCTTTTGCAATAATCGACAGGTGAGACAATCGTAGGAGATGGAACCACGGCACAGTTAGCAGCGTTGCTGACTGGAAAGGCGGAGAAACAGCAATCAGAAGCTAGAAAGAGAATTTATTCGTCTAATCCAGTGGACAGTTGGCGTTGGATCTTTAGAGACTTTAAAAATATGGGGTACGCTACGATGTTTTCAGAAGACTCTCCGCACCTTGCCTCCTTTAATTTGCGCTTGAAAGGTTTTCGCGATCCACCTACAGACCATTACGCCAGACCATTTTGGTTAGAGGCTTCCAAACTAATGAGGAGTAGAGGACTTTGCCTTAACAGTAGGCCTGCTCACAACGAATCTTTCAATTATTTGTTGAGCTTTTTCCGAAGATACCAGAACACACCGAAATTCGCGTTCTCATCTCTAGCTGATATATCGCACGATGACGTGAATACGATTGGTTTTGCGGACGACGACCTTAAAGTTACTTTGGAGACTATGCAAAGAGAATCAATCTTGAATAACACCTTGTTGATAATTTTTTCCGATCATGGACCACGATTTTCTGCTTTCAGGAAAAGTGTACAAGGTAAACTTGAGGAGCGATTCCCATTTATGTCATTTACCTTGCCAGAATGGTTTCAAGACAAGTATCCTGAACTCCAAAATAACCTCCTACATAATTCACGCGTTCTTACATCGCCGTTTGATGTTTATGCAACTTTACGTCACATACTGTCATATCCTCAGTACCCAAAGGAGATTTTAGTAGGGCAAAGCTTGTTTAGCCGGATTAATCCAAAGAATCGCACATGCGCGAGTGCTGGCGTAGCCGATCATTGGTGCCCCTGTCTTGACCTAGAAGAGGTGGGCACTAATGAGTCTGTGGTGATGGAGTTAGCAGATTTTGTGGTGTTTCACATCAACAACCTAACGTCACAGAGTGACGAGTTAGTGAAGATGTGTCAGCGATTGAAACTGAAAGAAGTGAGCAGCGCATTCCGAGAAATGCCAAATGAAGCCATGCAAAGGTTTCAGCGTAGCACGAGAGATTCACGCGATACGTGTGACGGTTGTGAGGCGGTTTTGGGTAAAAAGTCCCATAATAGCCTCGTTAAAGACACGTTATATCAGCTGCAAATTGTTACATTTCCCAATAGAGGATTTTATGAGGCCACTGTTAGGATGAAGAAGGGTGTTCCCTCACTTGTAGGGGACATAAGCAGAATCGACGCATACAAAGATCAGCCATATTGCTTAATGGAAGATTTTCCGCTTTTGCGAAAGTATTGCTATTGCTTTCCAAGGAATTTAAAAATTTCAAGTCAACGCAAATTGAATTAAAAATCAAAACATTTTACAGTATTATGAAGGGTAAGTCTCTTCCATATCTTACTAACTTTCTTGAGCAAAAATCCTCTTAGAATGCCTTTCCTTCTTTTACTGCGAATATGCCAGGAAACATCAATGACTGGATTTAGGAAAAATGTGGCCGATGATGAAACAAATTATTCGAATCGGTATCAATAGCTTTGTATAAGATTATGGAACATTTCCCTTTTTTGATTAGGTTGACGGTTTTCCTTGGACCTCAGACTTGTAGAGCTGATGTCTTTTTTCGATTTAGATTGTGGGATGTGAGGCATAAGAGAAAAAACGATAACGCCTTTATCGTCTGCGTAGCTACTTTTGAGTGAAAATAGTGCGAACAGAAATAGCAGAATAAGCAGAAGTTCTAGACGGTGATAAAGCATGAGTCATGCTGTAAATCTGCATCCGTTGATATATACAAATCATCGAAGATCCCAGTCTCTTTTTTCGCGCTTCAGTGTTCAACAATAAAATGATGTGTGAATTAGCATTTTAAAGACCATTTTTGTCTTTTTTTGTTTTAACTCATAGTCTATTTCGGCGAGGTGTAATCACAACTAGTGGTGCTTTTTTATGGTCTCTCAACAGATGAATTTTGTCGGCAGTCTAAGTCATTTCAAATGATAAAATTAGTTAAAGTTTTGACGAAAGCTTTTTCCTAGGCAACAATCAGCTCCCTCGAGGATTGCGTGTGTTTTCAAACGGTGACATCCTATTTATTTACGTTTTTGGGAACTTGGCCAGAGAGCAATAAGCAATAAAGCGATGACTTACTTGTTCTCATATTGTTCTTATGAATCGAATAAGAACACAGAAAGAAATAAGATAAATCTATATTCCGCAACCAATGATGTGCTTTTGTTTTTTTGTCCCCAAACGAATCTGGTATCTAGGCTTACTCTGGGGCCTTAAGTCGCCGTAGCTTTGGGTAACCTTAGGCGATTTAAGGCGACTTAAGGCGACTTAAGGCGACTTAAAGGGATTTTATTGGACTGGAGTGATAAAATAAAAGTTCGCAACGGTCTCTCCATAAACCTTAAAAATATTTACAAAATCCCTTGCAATAAGCACCATAGTCAATTTGGTTACTTTTGTATGCTCATAAGTCACCATAGTCTAAAATATGCAGTTTTCAATGAAACCAATTTAGCTAAAAATAATTAAACAGAATTACCACAACAGTTATTGTTAAATTATACAGTCAAAGCTAGTGAATAAATTGCCAGGAAAATATCATGGGTTATATGCCCAACATAAAACAAACCTATCATATACACATAAAGACACACATTTTTAATTTAAGAAAAGAGACATGATTTACATAAAACTATCGATAAATTTTCCACATAATTAATTAAAAATAACTTGATTATTTAATTATTTCACAGAGCCTCACAAATTATAAAAATTGTCAGTTATCTTGGTAAACTTGTCTCCCATATTTTTGCCAACTTGTCAATTTTGGCATGAAAGTTTGACAACTCGCATGCCTTTCCAACAGCATCCAAACTTGCTCAGTCCTTTTCAGGGAACCAACCAATTTGTTGTTCTCCTGCCTCAGTTAGACAAAACACTCCAATACCATACTGAGAACCATATGCTAAGGTCTTTCTCCATTGTTGATCGGATCAGCAGGACCTTCCAAGCATTCAAGTTTTATTTCTAGCCTGGTGGCAGTATTACACGTTTCAAAACATTCATTCTTACCTCACAACTGTCCAGAAACTAACGAGTCACGACGAAATTCCCCAAGCTGATAACTGGCTCTAAAGTCTCCGCCATTATAATTCTCCCAGAAACCTTTGCGCCGCTAACTAGTTTCCATGCTTCGAAGTTAGGAGTGGGACAACACCAGGGTTTCTCTCACAAAAAAACAACTTAACTGGCACGAAGACAATTTCCTATCATGTATATAATTTCATTTCTGTTAAAAAAAAAAATTTGAATGAGTCGCATCGAGCATAAGTCGATGGAAAAAAAAATTGATGAGCGTCTTCTTTAGAAGTAGTTTCTTTTCTATTAGAATATTAAGAAAGGGAGAACTATCTATTATTTCCATATCTGAATATGTCTATTACGACAGACAGCCGAGTTTAAATTGACTTTACTCCAACAAGGACCCAAAGCAGACGAAACAATTAACAGCTTACGTTATTTTGAGTTCAGTTTAAAATTTAACACATTTCATAAACACCCTCGTATTTTTCATACCTCGTGAGCCCTCTACCTTGTGAAACTGCTGTAATTTATTAGTTTCAGCTTGATATAATACAACATTAAGCGCTTTGCGGTAGTCAAAAGACCTCGTTAACAACGGTTTCACACATTATTTGTGCCAAGAACAAACAAGAATTTGCATTTTGTACATTATAAATAGCTTGTTTAATTCTAACTAAATGAGGAGCATTGCTTACTTACTCTCTGTGAATACTTGCTAAAATTGTTGTCGGAGCTCGTGGTGGGTCCATTCCGAAACTGTTTCTTTCCAAAGACGAATCACTAAAAGCTGAATATAGTGGAAAACTTGAAAACATCCCAGACAGGTGAAATTAGCCTTTAATGCTCTCCATCGCTTTTGTAAGAGCAATTTCAGCAAGTACCGGTTTATGGTGATGTAGGTTCTTGTAACCATTTAAATTTCATAAGACATCCAACTTAGATTACTTTCCAATCCGAAAATTTGAGAAAGTTTGGTGAGGTTTACACAATCTATGGTTAAACAGATTTTACGCCCTTTTTAGAATCAATTTTCTGACGGGTTATGCAGTTTATTTAAATCTTTGAACAGTCCGCTTTGTTTCGAATTTCACGCCTTCACTTATAATGATGAAGGCAGAGAGTTACCCCTAGTAAGGTAAAAAGTATTATGTTAAGAAAAGGGGAAACTTGAAAATCGAACCAAACTAAAAGGATACAACTGCGCAACGATTAAGCCAACTGGTAATTCGGCTCCATGAATGCGTGAAATTTCATTTAAAAACTGCATTATATTATTCTAGTTCACATCGTATAAGGTTTAACTTTAACTAACTTTAAGACCTTTGGTGATCGTGCCTTTGCCCGTTCTGGACCTTTTTTGTGGAACGAACTGCCGCTTGAAATTCGAAACAGTCCAAGTGTAACGATTTTTAAGTCAAAGCTTAAGACACATCTATTCAAGCTGGCTTACAGTTTGTTTTGATATTTTGTCGTTTATCATTTTAATATTTGTAGTTAATAATGTTGTAAAGCGCTTTAGAATATTTTATAATTTTAGCGCTTTAGAAATGTAAATTATTATTATTATTATTATTATTATTATTATTTAATCAACTTCGAATAGGCCAGTTTCAGTACTTAGTCATATTTTTTAAGAGGAACAGAGCATGCACTTCTAGTAAAAACAGCGTTCATGTCTGCCAAACCCAAGAATTTTTAACACATTTCTTTATCTTTCAAATTTCATCATAACTAATTCAGTTTTTTATTGGCAGGTGCATTTTATCAGTGACATGTCCGTTAAATAATTTATCTGAATTTCGCGCACAACAGAAGAAACCGTTTTACAAGAGTCGGACAAGGCATTGACAAGATTATCTTAACACAGGGTGATTACATCAGTTGCAATACGTGGGAGACAGGAAAGTTGTCCTTAAACAAAAGTTACTACACCAGGTATGGCTGGGTTCTGAGAGAAGTAGTCCTAATGAACAAATATTTCTGATCAGGGACGACTGTCCCCTTAAAGGCGATATTCCTCACGAGAAACCATTTCAAAATAACGACGACGTCACTAATACATAAATGCGGTATTGGAGATTGTTACGTGGACTCGGAATTGGAAAAGTTTTTAACATTCTGACCCTTGGGACTTCTAAAAAAAAAGGCTTTTACTCATTATTTTTACTGTAGTTCTGTTGAGAATTTCTGATTATGAATCAACGATGACTTTTTTTGCCAAAATATTCTTTTTGACTAGACTGCCAAGCATATCATTTTCAGGAAATTAAGTATCCACATCAAATGATCCACAAAAAGGGAACCTATGAACAACATTGAAAAGCTTCGGTTCTTTTTTAAAATAGTTCGTAAATTGTTGTTCAGGCTGTCAATGAATGATCCTAAAAACATTTGCAGATAATTTGAAGCTACAGGTACTTGTTACCGCTTTTTTTCAGATGTTGACCTCAATACCTGGAGCATTGCTGGCTCTCTTGTTACTTACACTTTATGCAAACGGTGGGAATTTCCTTTTCAATTTTTCTCTTTAACTTTATGTTATTTGCAACCCTCCTGTCGTTCTTTAGCGCTTCATGTATCTTATTAACCAAGCGCGAGGGCCGTACTGGGAGAATATCGGCCCGAGGTCTTGACAGTACGGACCTCGCTGCGCTCGATCCGTACAAAAAAGACCGATGGCCGATTTTCTTCCATTACGGTCCCGAGCAAGCTTGATTAATAAGAGATTTATTATACGACTGAACTTCATAGGGACACAAGTGCGGTATCATTCGGGACCATTCGGGACAGTGTGCGGTCCAATACTGAGAGAATATTGACCGGCAATAGAGCATTTTGATTGTTTTATTTTAGTTATTGGCCCTCTGACTGCCCTAGTCGTGTAATAAATGATGTTATCCCTCGTCCCAAAGGTAGAAAATAATCGATTTTTCCCTCGTCATGATGATCTTTAAGATTTCCAAATCTTCCAGCCGTTGAATCGAAGTTGAATATCGTTGCATATATCACTTAGAAGGATACCTGGCATGAGATTGGTATCCCATTCAGGGGAATGGAAGTTGCTTTATGGTACAAAACCAAAAAAAGGTCTACTTATACTAAGGTCGGTAGTTAGGGAAGTAGTTAGGTCGGTAGGTAGGTAGGTAGGTAGGTAGGTAGGTAGGTAAGTCTGCACTCGAGCCAAGTGGCAAATCCAACCAGAGCTAATTCCGATTTCCATGGCAAGAAGCGCCTAGGAGTATTACCTACACTTTCCCTAGGAACTCGGTCGATATAACCAAATAATCTAGCTCCTTGTTATACCCGCTACCGACGCAACGCCATTGTTTCTTTAGAAATTCCCCCCCCCCTTGCTATAAGCAGGACTGAGACAGCTGACACTTGAGGCGAATGATTAGCCATGGTTTCAGGAGAAACGTACTATTTTTGTCCTTGACTCTTGTTATTCAGGTGTAGTTTTTGGTTCTTCATCATGTTACTACGAGGTTGAAGACGCAAAGGGAAAAATCCGCACTCCTCGATTCTTTGCCAACAGAACTTGCAGTTGGTTGATAAAAGTGCCTCTCCCTCGCAAAATCATCTTAACATTTCAAACATTCCAGCTGTATTATAAAGATGAATTCGGCAGACAAATCGAAACTCGACTGCAAGTTTGGGATGGAGTCGACGACAGAAGCAAATTACTTGGGATTTTCCGCGGCACGAAACGTCGATTTTCTTTGAAGTCGAGTGATCGCCATCTTTTTCTTCGGTTATTTCTAAACAACGATGTTCCCCTTTGTAATTTTGAAGGATCTTACGTTTCAACCATCACCAAAGGTAAAGAACCAACAATAAACTTCCCTTCCCATCTTTATATACAGATATTCAAAGATCAGTTTACTACGCAAATTACGTCGATGTATTCTGTAAACTGAGGCTTTTGATAAAGTTTCTCAAAAGCGTCAAATCCTACCAAACGCTTGATATCTAAAGGAAAACTTTTCTTCCCCTGGAAGAACAGCTTCAAATTTGCATAATTTCTTACTAACTACAGGTTAAAAACTCGCCAGGAAACCCTTAAGATACCATAGAGCGTCATTAGTTGCCCTCCATAAGGAGGTGATAATTCCTTTGAAGTCTCAAGTCGTTATGCAGATGGTATTTCAGTCGGCTTTTTCAAGGTCATATTATTTGCAATCGCCTTGTCTTTCGCAATTTGATATTGTATGATGCTAAATCCACCTTGTGAGAAAGTAGAATACGTCCTTTGACCTCGCTGACTTCATTTGTGTCGTTTTGAATTTCTAAGGACATTCATGACTATGTGGCTCTCTTTTGGCAGATTTTGCACTATGTTACAATACCTTTCCAAAGGTTTCCTATTTAGGTTCGAGAATTAATAGAGAAACTGCGACGTTACTGCATGATATTTCTTTAAAGTTGGAGTAAATTAAAAATGTATGAGTTTTTCAAGAACACCTATCAGTGGTGATGCTGTGTATTCCCTGCTAATGCTGCCCGTAGCATTGAATGAGCTGCATTCTTACTTACTGATCTCTCTCTCTTTTCCCTTTTCGTTTTAATTCCAATTTTACCAAATTTCTCTGTTCATTTCAGAGAGGCCAACAGTGAAGGTACCAGTCTCTCCCGTGAGGGCTCTACCGGGACATTGGTTGTGGTGTACAGCCCAGGGTACACCCCCTGTGGACATAACGATAACAAACAACGATAAAGTATTGGTAACCGGCAGTGGGTACGCCTTGACTCAAATTTATGACGAGGGAACATATACGTGCACTGCAAAAAGTCAAGCCGGAAGGGATTCAAAAGAAATACAAGTCTCTTTAGTAGCAGGTAAGAACACTTCATTAATGATTCAATAAGGTTAGAAAGTGCCATGTTGTGATGATTTCTTAAATCCCTCATTTTATGTTAATCTAGTATTTTTGCCTCCAATTGCCTCGCATCGTTCTCTATCACGGTTTTTTGAGTTACAATTTAATGGCATTTACACCCTGACTTGTGGCGGAGCATTCTTCCGAGTGAAGTAAAAGTCACAACTCACAGTGTAGCCAAGGCAAGGGTTATGCATGTGACGAGAAGTTCTTTGCAAGTCACGGGTAGAAATCATCAATGGATCATTGTCAGTATCTGGAAAGCTGCGCACCCACTCCTCCCTTAACCCAGCAACAGTAAAATCATAAGAATTTAGGGCAGAGGAGGGGTGTGCCTATATTGACAATGATCCTCAACTGTCAGAAAGCCTTACGTCGATAAAATAACGAGGTAACTAGCGCAGTTTCTCAAAAGGAAAACATTTACTTACCTACAACCTTAAGTGCAATAGCCGAGCATAAAAGGACAGTTTTCGTAACTGTATGAACCGTGCATGGGCGAGTAAAATTGAACTACTGTTCAAAACATCACGAGGAACCATTCATGACAATTATGTAGTGTTTTTTTCAATCGTAAATAGTTCATGCTATTACTTATGCATTCTATTCTCAAAAGAGTCTCTTAACTAGGGCTACTTTGTAAGTTCTTAGTGCTCTTTACTCGAAACACTTTTGGACGGGATTTTAAAATTGTCGTGATGTTTTTAATTTTTCATTCATTAACATGGTTGTAACAAACAAACCAATTTCAATGTTTTGTTGTTGTTTTTTAATTATCGCAGAATTTAGAGTGGTTACTTAATATTCAAAAGCTTTAATTTAAGCGGGTGTATGCAATACGGGAATCCCATGCCCACTGTAAAACCTACTTACGCATTGACTAATCAGGAAAGATATACTCCTATTGAGTATAAGATAATGCTTTTAATTTCTTTGGTGGTAAAAGATTGTAAGTGTTACGGTCATCACCACTGGGAAGATGGTAAAGCACGGAATGACTTCATTTGCCATATTGCGTCACCTCTTGCCAGAATCTTCCAATGCGTCCCTACAACTACCATGGACATGTAGGTATTATTATGCAATAAGCCGAACTATAAAGTCACACATCTTCATTGGGTCCTGCTTATAATCTATTGCGGGATAGTTGCATAGATGATGTCACTATTGACAACGTCAGTGACACACACGGCAACGCGTTGTTTGCCTATTTTCGTCCTTACAATATTTTGACGTCATCGATGATCTATTACTGAACAGACGCATGGCAACATGAAATTTATTTGTTAAGTACATGTGAGCCTGCAATCAAACGCGGATGATAACAATTGTGTATCTTCTGCTGTCTTTCTGACTGTCTTTCTTTTGATTGTTATTATATTATCGTAACCATCGCCTTTTAGCACAAAGACCGGGATCATATCTCGTTCGTTTCAGTGACAGGATCTCGTGCAAATGTAATGTTTTTTTTTTTTCAATCGTAACAACTGATATGAATTGAAAAAGCTTTGATCAATCAGTGTTATTGATCTTTAGGTTCTCCGTCAGTCATCAGGTACAACCCGGATGGCCAGGCTATTTCTAAACTTTCATTTCTAAATATTTACGTAATTATAGAATTACAGCTTGTGATTTTAAACGATCTGAACTAAACAGCTTTTACTCCTACCGACGCAGCACTAACAGGTTCTTTAGAAACTTTACCCCTCTTCATTCATATAAATAGTACCCTAGCTATATGGTAATGAATGGTTCCATCAAAATGACTGATCTTCGAATTTTTTCAGTATCTACTGCACAATTCCTCGCTACTTTCTGCTTTTCGGCTTTGAGTTCAAAAGCAACGGCATGTAAAAGCAATTGCCAAAGTACTTAAAACTCTAACTTAAAGTTTGTTTCCTTAAGGATCTTACCCGGACTAAAGATATATAATCTTCCAGGAAATAGCTTTCAAAACATGGATTCGTTGAAGATGTTGTAAGTACATGGAAACCTATCTGGCCATTGATAACATTCGCAGGAAAACTCGATCCTATGAAAAAAGTTTGCAAACTAATAGAATATTTGATTCCGTCTGCATGCGACCGCAAATTTGACATGAAAACTATCTTTGGTAAAAAAAAGGAGGTGGCGAAATAAATATGTACTGCTTAAAAGTGAAATGATGAAAGAGAAATTCCTGGGTAGGACGATGGGATAGGGCATATATCCATTGCATGAAATTTTTGATCTGAGTTTTTATTGTAAACAAATTAAGAAGAATGTAACAAAGTTAGTTATTAGAAAATTTCCCATTTCACTCTTTAGAGACCTTCAAAAAAACCAAATATACAAGCTCAATAAAGACATTTTCCGTGATCTTACAGAACTCCGAGAATTGTGAGTAAAATGCTTCTTTCTTCATCTGTAAGTGTTATTTTCACCCAAATTACCTGTGATTTGAAAAATGTGTTTGTTATAACTTGCAGTAGTAGAAGTAATCCTTCGCATAAGCACATTTGACTTAATTTCATATCTCAGTTTGTTTTTACATTGGGTGACGGATCCAAGATATGAAGCCGAAAAAATTAACGAAATGGTACAATGAAATGTTCTCATTTGTTTTACATTTCAATGACTGCAGGTACCTGCAGCAAAATAAAATTAAGGAGCTTCCTGAAGCCGTCTTTGATTCGCTTTCCAATCTGCAGATCCTGTAAGTATCTTGCTACCTACACTATCTTAATTAAACTTGCCAAATTGTCAATTATTAATTACCAATAGCGTTGCTATAAGCCAAAAGTAATTACTAAACTCGTAAGGTTTATTTGAAAGACCTCAAAATACCACAAAAATTGCGGTGAGAGTGAAGCTGAAGACAAATTGTAATGAAGAATATGGATTTGTCACAACTTTCCAGTTTTGGAGATTTTTTTTTTATCGAGTAAAAGTTTCTGTTGTAACAACATCCGTTCCTCTATTAGTGAGAAAGATGGATTTCGAATCGATATGGGAATGAATGCGTTTAGAATTATCATTATCTGGTTTAACTTAGACGTTGTGAATTGTGAGTTGGTTTCTGGCTTCTTTCACAAAAACATGAATATTGTTTTTTTTCAGAACTTTAGGGTTCAACCGGATTGAAAAGCTTCCAAGAAGACAATTTGCAAACTTAACGACCCTACAACAACTGTAAGAACAGAGATACAATTTTTTTCGTTTTCGTTCAGTGACGTATCGTAGAACTAGGACGCTACAGTTTTAATTGCCTAACGCTAACTTCGGAGGAAGAAAGTTCAATCGGATAGGGGAAGAGCGTCTAATAAGGTTTTCTTTAAAGCACCTCTGTCTTTATTTTGGCTAAAATCCATATGGAAATCGGTTGCAACGTTATCCATGAAAGCATACAGAGACAGACCGACTCCCTTACCTACTTACTGGTTTAGTTGCTTACTTGTTTAGTTACTTACTTACTTATCACTCACTCACTCACGCGTATTCACGAGTTTTAGAAGTGTACAACCTTATTAAGTAAAGCTGAAAAAGAATGGTAGATAACAGAATATATACCAGTACTTGAACAAGCTTTGTGTTAGAGAAAGTCTCGAGTTTGAAAAGTCTCGAGTTTTCCTTTACCCTACTGTAGTTTCCTTTTACAGATTGAGATAATCTTCCCCTTATTTCGCGAGACAGCAGTTTTTTCTAATGTGTTAGTTTGAAATTTTGCGCAAGAAATTGGTGTGTGGGCCGCCAAAATTGTTCCGTTGTGCATGCCGGACCTATGAAGGCTGCGTTGTAGTGTAGACACGTCATTTGGGAAGGATTTCTGATGAGACTGACGGCACTAACCCTAATATCATGTTATACAGTTCCTATTTTACTTGAGAGGCGTAACTAATATCTGTAATGTAATCTCCTCAGAGACCTAGCAAGTAATTCCATTAAAGAATTATCAGAGGAGTCGCTCCTTAACTTGACTTCACTCGTGCGAATGTAAGTTGTAAATATTTTTTTTGGATTTCATTAGAGATTCTTGGGCTACTATATATAGATGAACAGCTGTGTTGATTCTGTTAACGCTGGCAGAAAAATTTGATATTTACTTTGCTGGTAAGGGAAATGTTTAAACTATAAGAAGAAAGTGCACTGATAGCGAGGATCAACAGCTGAGTGAGGTTTCATGATTGCATTTTGCGTATTCTATGACTAATTTATCATGCGTTTTACCACTGGTCTTTTTCAGTGATTTCAGTTGGAATGGGATAAAGGATCTTCCTGAGGGCATATTTGACAACTTGAAGTATCTGAGTTATTTGTGAGTTCATCAGTGACTTTGTAGATTTTAGCGTCACTTTGTTGTACTTTTAAATCACACATTTTGGAACTGGCCTAACCGCCCCCCCCTCCCTTCCCCTCCAAGATTGTGTGGACCACTGAGCTCGAAAACAGACTTTACTGTAGGTATTTGAGGATCTCACCATAATAACATAAATTCTTTTTTTACTCTCTTATTTTTTCTATTGGAGCAAAACTCTGTGTGAACCAATTGGAATTGCTTTGCTTCCTTTCCAGAAATCTGCATGGAAATGCGTTGACCATCTTGCGACCGGACGTTTTTAGAAATCTAAATCGACTGAAGACACTGTAAGTTCCGAGTTGTTATGCTCCTTTGTCCTTCTATTTAATAAAAAACATATTTGTGCACGATCCTCGCAGTAAAGAGCACTATTTAAGCAATAGTGAAAATCAGACCTGAAAAAATTCAGGCCTGTACGGGATTCGAACCACTGACCTCTGCGATACCAGTGCAGCGCTCTATCAATTGCATGAGCTAACAAGCCAACTGGGAGCAGGTCATCAAATTAGTCCGACATAAACCCGTAAGATGATAAATCAAAAACAACGAATATATGAAATTCAGATATCTGAACTGCGGTTATAGAAACGTATTTGTGCACGACCCTCGCAGTAAAGAGGACTATTTAAACAATAGTGAAAATATTCGACTCGTTGTGTTTGATTTATCACCTTACGGGTTTATTTCGGACTAATTTGATGACCTGCTCCAAGTTGGCTTGTTAGCTCAATTGATAGAGCGCTGCACTAGTATCGCAGAGGTCAGTGGTTCGAATCCCGTACAGGCCTGAATTATTTCAGGTCTGATTTTCACTATTGCTTAAATAGTACTCTTCACTGCGAGGATCGTGCACGAATACGTTTCTAATACCGCTGTTCAGATATATGAATTTCATATATTCGTTGTATTTAATACAAAACAATTCATTTGGAGTTAGCGAGGAACTATTTAGTGAGTGGCTTGCTGGCATACCAAGTGGTTATGTTCGTTTTTCAAAGGTTGTCTCAGAAATTAAAAAATTGGCTGGAATGGAAAAAATTATTTGTTGGTTTTAAGTAGAAGGCGGTCCATTTATATCCGCGTAGTTCACATCATTAAAATCACTCTCGCGTACACGAATTCATAGCATTACTGGAAGATATAGAAAAATGGATTCATATCTTAAGAGAAAAGGACCTTTCTTTCATGGTTTTTGCCCTCTAGTTCAATTTCTTGCACATAGAATCTGAATTGGATGTTAGAACAGGAACTAAAATTTACCTTTTTTGACTAATGAAAATCTTTCAGGGATCTATCATATAATAAGATCAAGGAGTTACCAGTTGGAATATTCTATGGAACAATTTCACTATCAAAATTGTAAGTCTATAAACAGCACTCGTTCGCTTCGGGTCCGTGTGTTGCAGGTAATGCAATGTTACTTTGCTTTTCCGTGGAGCTAAAGAGTGTCTCAGCTTAAACTTTATAGGTTTTGGTTGTTCTCTTGTACCTGTGGCTGTTTTGTTGCGTATTAGTACTTCAACGATACTTCTCACTGTGATTGATCCAGAAAACTTGCGCCAGTTTCTCAGCCAATCAGATAAAAAAGTCAAACCAATCACAACTTGATAGCCGCGTTTAAGGCAGTTTGGTTGATTTTACTTTGAGTTCTCATTGGCTCTTAAAGTTATTCTCCTCTCTTCTGATTGATCGTAGTGTGGGCCTAGGTTTTGGTTAAACGAAACAATCAAATACCGTACTGACAATTTGAAGTTTCTTCTCGATGAATAAGATAATAGTGTTCTGTTTATGAACATTGCGTTTGTTTTGTTTTTTCTCTAAAGAAAGTTAAGAATGTTACGGTGTAGATGGATTTACCATATTTAAAATGGCTACCCTTAACTCTTCTTTCCCACAGATCCCTGAGTATCAACTCGATACAAACTTTACAGGAAGATATTTTTGAGAAGATGGCCAACCTGCAAACGTTGTAAGTGGTTTTTGGTATGAAAATTAGTATGGACTCGCTGTTCAATTTGTTTTTCAACGTTATACATCTAAACTTGGCAATTCCAGATGATAAAAACGATAGTAATAGCAATGATGATGATAATAAAAAGAACAATGAGAACAAAAAATGTATAAAATAACGGTAATGATAAAACATTTTTGTGAGAAATTGTGAAAAGAATTAATAGATGTAACCAAGTTTCTATCTGCTTGTGTTCATCGTTATCTTAGTATAAAATTTTTTGGTCCGATATCTGTTCTGATTAATATATTAGAAAAAAAAAAACAACAATAATAAAAACAAACAAACGAAAAATTAAACAAAAACCAAATCAATAAAAAGTTATAGCGGTATTAAGACGCAACTAAGCTGATTTGAACCTTAGCCTTCGTAGTAACTGTACGACAGAATATTTCTTTATATTATGATGCGTATCACTTTTTTTACCTGCCAGAAACCTATACAGCAATAAAATTGCGCACATCCCGAGGGACAGCTTTAAGAATCTTAAAAGACTGAGATATTTGTAAGTATAATTCTTGATGCGGCTATTATCATGAAAAGCCGGCCAGGTAGTGCGACAAAACCAGCACCAAATCACAAAAAAAAAAGAAAGAAAAGACGTTGGACATAATGGAATTCGGAAATGCGTGCCAAAAACGTACGGCGAAACGAAAGCTTTGAGTTCCTATTCTATGGTCAGATCCTTCAGCACCTAGGCGACAGTGAATCTTTCGGTGAGCAAGGTCACTTGCTAAGTTCATGTGTATGATACAAATGGCCTGTATACTGTTTAAATGATTGACAAAATAATGGTAAATTCTGAGCATTTTCCCCGAGAAGTTACAAATTAAGTCGTCACCTGGTGCTGCCATTTTGAGCTTCAGAGAACTCCATAGTGAGCGTGGCAATACGCTGGGTTCATACGCAAGAAGCTGACGCCGCATACTTTCTAGTATATATCAGATTTTTCCGAGTTATGAAAAAAGATGCTTCTTTCTGGCTGCAAGCTATCAACTGAAATGATCACCAACTTAAGAAGCTCTTGATTACTAAACAAATTCTCCTTGTCAGCACCTTAGGAAATGTAAAGAGCACTGTTTGGAGAATTTACACTCTGATTTTAGGGTATAAAGGGTTAAAAGCTGTATGATGTTGAACCGCCTCCCGGTTACCTCAATGGATAGAGCGCTGGACTGTTGTGCGGGAGGTTGAGGGTTCGAGCCCTGGCCGGACCAACAGTCGAGGTCTTAAAATAAATGAGAAGAATATGCTACCTTTCTATAACATCAAGAAATGGTTAGATATTCTAGTCTTCTCGAATAGGGACGAATAAATGGAGGTCCTGTCTCCTGCAGGGTTAGGGGTAGGAGACGTTAATTTCCCACGTACGAGATTACTGATAGATGGATGTGGGTGGGATGGGTGGGTTGGGGTT